TGCGTTGGGAGTTGACTGGTAGTTGGTAGTCTTTTGGGTTATGTCTTGAAATGGGGAGCAAACTTGGCAAAATGTGATTTAAAACTAATTTCCTGCATTTCACCACCGAACCTCTTAGATTAAGTCAAGAAACGGCCACCTGCACTACTATAGATTATTTGAATGAGGGTACACAAAACCAACTCTTCGATGCGGCTCCTTTGCGGACGTCTCATCTCCACAGTGGAATCCTCTCCGATCAGCGAGCTAGCGCACGGTGGGCTATCTGGCAAACTTTGCTAATGTTGACTCTCGGTTTGCAACAGTACAATCCTACTTTTAGCTAATTTAAAGTTTAGCTGTAGTCAGTGGGCCGAGCAACAAACGCTAGCCTATATCTATTCTTTTGTTTTGTGTTTCAGTCCATGACGGCAGTGAAGCTAAATGGCTTCATGTTTCTTTCCTTTGTAAACAGACAGACTCCTGCGTGGATTGACAGACTGTGATTGACAGCCAAAGCGACGAGTTTGTCTGAACCAACTCAATTTTTGTCCTGCTATTATGTTACATTATTAAGTTTTGATATAAACATTCATATTTCGAATAGGTGTTCAATTTAGGAGACTTCAGACACTCAAATAAAATTGCGGACAGTATATGTATTGCAATATATCGTAGATATCGTAGTGATTTCCACAGATCATTACTTTTTATTTTGTCGTCGGCAGCTAACAAACACTGTGCTTCATACTCCATACGTTCACATCATGTCACGCATTAACATGGAATGTGCTCAAATCAAAAATGCAACTGTCAGCAATCAAATTACTAACATTGTCTGTCAGTACAAAAACTCCTGCACTGGAGAACACTAATGTAGGGGGCGCTATTGAGGAAGAAATATGTGTAAAACTTATACATTTAATTTTTCCAAATACAATTTTTCTAAATTACACTGAACAAAACATTTTTATTGTTATGATTTTAGTTTGACTTTACTTTTTCAGATTTAAGTTTTAAAAACTTTTTTCAGGTGCAGTTTAGGAGTATGTGGAATCATAAAGTCACTTCTTCCTGAGGAAAAAAAACTGCTCCTCATCTGTTTTGTCAATCTCTAAATTCTAGCGAACAAAAAAAAAAAATCTTCACATGTTAAGATTTCTCTTTGTCCGTTTTTTGGGTGCTTCCTGGGTTTGTGAAATATTTCTGTTATGTGGCTTTTCATTCAGAGAAAAAACACGTCATACAGGCGGGTTAGCTCAGTTCCAGTTCTTAGATGTACAAAAGAGAATAAGGGACTTTACGCTCATCTCAACTTCATGCTTCAGAAAATGACATTACCATACTGGAGTATAGATTCAAGACGGAATTAAGGGCTCCTCCATCTGGCAGAAGGATTTCATCCACCAGTGAAAGATGAGTCTCTGTGTCTACAGTGAAAAGATTCATATTGCATATTGCTTTTTCTGTTTGATTAGGTTATACTCTACGGACGGTTATTCATATTCCATTTCAATATGAGCACGATAAACCTGATTAAAACCCTCAATAGTGGAGAACGGAGGAGGGCCATTTTCTAAAGACTGTGACTGTGACACAGACGAGATGTATTGTGAAACAGGAAATGTGTGTACAAAGACAATCTGAAAGCTTCTGTTCTTCCCAAAATGGCAGATTAAAGGCTGTATGCATGTACGAGCAAGTAGACTCACGATGGTGGGTGAAGCTGCTGATGAGCTCATGTCTTTTGTTGTTCAGATAGTGTTGAATACGTCCTAATCTTTACATAAGCTCATTTGTCTTATCCTGCTTTTATTACAAAACCCATTCTGCTTATGAAGAAATGCCAGTTAAAGGCACAGACAACATATCTTCTCAATCGGTTTTATTATGAGCAATGGGGCTTAACATGAACAACATGATGTCACGACCACCAATCAGGAACATTTGAATCAAAATCTGAAGACAGGTGGTAGGCTGTTTGCTTATGTTGCCAGGCTTCTGTTATTTTATATTTACTACCGACAATCCACCGATGTAGAGTTTAGACGACCTGAGAAGGGCCACATCAAAATTGGGGAAAGAATAGCATAATATGACTGTTACTACTAGACACCAGCCAATCAGAATAAAACATGAAATGCATCATAGATGTAGTATAAGAACTTGATACAGGACTCCAAGTTGGCACCCAATCATTTGAATGGAAATCGCTTGCCTCAGCCAAAAAGAAAGTTTGCATCCGCATTAGGAAGTCCAATTGTTTTCCTCCCTCTCCTACTCACTCACACTCCGCCCACAGACTTTTCATTGAAATTACGTCACATTCATTTTCACTTTTCTAGGCTCTGGAACATTTTTGCAAATATAAAATAAAAGGGATTCAGATAGAAAAAATTCAATTCACAATACAAAGAGTAATACTTTACTTTGTTGGCAGTTGCAGGTGACCTGACAACAGTTTTTCTAAAAGGTGGTCTGGTGTTGAAATGCTTTTTTTGCCTGAGATTTTATTGTCGTAGTACTGCGGTTGGCCACTGGAGCTAATGGCAGCAACACTGAGTGACCGCACCGTATCCAGCTCGTTAAAGGTGCCAAATGCAAAATTGTGAGTATATCTATTGCCTCTCAACAGTGTTTAGAAACCAGGCGATTATATTTGGCAAGCTATAACGATACTTCTAAAAAACATCCTTTTCAAGTCAGCAGGTCATGTTGCTGTCTTTGCCCCGACCTCACAACCTCCTCCTCTTCTTAAAGATATAATTCATTAAACAATCTGATATAGGAACCCCAAAAAAAATATATTTGACAGTGTGACACAGATTGCCACCAGATGTTCTTATTACACAGTCTATTTGTACGCTTAAAGTGACATGTTATCGTCCTGTCGCACACTAAATCAAACAAACTGTGATAGAGCTTCATCAGAAGTTTCAGTCCTCAGTCATGAAAGTTAAAAATAAGTGATGATAGTTTGTGTTTACTTCTGGACAGACACAAAAGTGGCTACAAATCTCTAAGAGAGCCTGTTGTTGTCCATGAAGGGAGTGGAAACACAAGAGCCCTAAAGTGTGTGAGTGTGTGTGTGTGTCTGTTTGTGTACTTGCGTATATGCATGCATGTCTGTGTTTTGTTAGTGTGGTGTGTGTGTGTGTGTGTGTATAAGTCACTTGGGGGGGGATAAAGAGCCATTGTCTGCAGCTGGTGCATTCCCCACTCCTCCTTTCTGCAGCTGTGAGGAAATCAAACGCTCCTCTTTTCCTCCTCTCTGCCGCTGTCACAACCTGCTGATGCCTTATTAGGTCATTCATGGTGAATCGTATGTGATGACCCACAGCAGCAGGTACACCAGCACCATTGAGCTGTCACAAGATGTAAATATTCTACACAACATCCTCATAACACTAAGCGTTAGTAATGATAAGAAGGAGAAATATTTATATTTACATCACCTTTCTAAAAAGTGTTTTACATCAAACAGTCTAAATGAAAATAATTCACATTTAAATAAAAGTACAGAGAATTATAGAGGAATTGAATAAAGAAGTGAGGAAAAATAACGTTTCTTCTTGTTTCTTTTGCTGTAACAAAAAAATACACAACACTCTCAAACTTTTAACATGAGTCTAGTAGACAAACTAGGACTTTGTCACTCGTCCTGTCAAGCTAGTGGCCAAAGACCAGTTTTCAGTTAGCAATGTGTCCAGTAACTGATTGGTAAGCGAATGTGTGGAAGTGTGCATTATGGATGAATGGATGAACTTAGTGAGTGTCAAAGACAAAGTAAAGGTTGTGTGGAGATCAGTGGAAAATGAGCCAGACTCACTTCTTATGCACGAGGCCCATAATTCAAAGTTACACTCTGTCCTCAGGTATTTCATTAAAACAGTTTATTGTCAAGCATTAACAAAAATAAATGAACAGGATGATAACAACCTACTTGTAAGTATGTTACTGCTCATCAATAAAAAAGATTGATTTGTTAATTGTCTGGAGCACAGAAAAGAAGGAACAAAGTTGTTTGGCCTGTAAGGAACAACAATATACAATACCAGTAAGGATACATTGTGTGAGCAATATACACAAGGTGTGTTGTCTTTTTTGAACAAAAAAAAACATTATACAAGATTAAAGAAAGAAATGTGAATGTTAAAGGTGCTCAATATGGAATCCAGAGAATATCTATTGCCTCCAAACGGCTCTCAACATGCCGATGGATGAGCTGCCTGCTAACGGTGCCAACAGAGCTAACAGTGCAAACGACGGCAACAGAGCTAACAGTGTTTACCTGAGGGGGAACCGAATGGCGGGCGCTACGCAACAACACCAGGGGGTCGAGGCGAGTAACCGCAAATATGCCCCAAAAGGCATGTGCGGCCTGGCTACGTAAACAAAGCACAGAGAAGCTTGGATAACAACAAACACAGAGGGAGAGAGACTTCTTTCTCTGCTCAGGTAGCCATTACTCCATTTTATCTATAGCAAATAGCTGTGTGCTGCTATTTAGCACATTTGTTACAGAATGAGGAAAAACACTTCCACTTCCTCTCTCTTTCTGTCTGTGACTTGACAAAACAACACGAGCCATTTAGTAGCTACTCCGGAGATTTTGTTTAATTCAAGGAATTGCCAATTTTCGTCAGCAGATGGGGCTCACCCGGTTGTCGTGGATATGTAAATGTTCAACTTTCAATTTCTTTGGGAAAGAAAATTAAGGACATTTTTGCTGAATTGTCGAGATTGAACGTTAATTACTCACCCTGGAAACAAACTCACCACAAAGTCCATTTAGTACAAAATGATTGTTTTTCTAATTCTCATTAATATTTGGAAAGCATCAAGTAAAGTTATTAAAAAAAACATTGCAACTTTTAGTAATATAAAGGAAAGTAGGCTATGAGGCAAAAGGGTCCAACATTAATTTACAATCTCAAAACTTGTTATTTAAGATTCATGAGGAAAATGTAGACATATTAACAACCGAACTGTATAAAAAGGCTATTTGCAGTTCCATGAACTGAACACGTGTCCGTGTAGAAACTAACTGTGACTTTTATTTGCAGATTCCTAAGTCGAACGTGTCATTCATGATCAGACCGCACTGTACCGACTATCAATGAATGGACCTGGATGTCCTGAAAGCAGCCTGAGCTCGTGTGAATCTTTCGCAGCTCTGCACCTTTAAATCTCTCCGCCCCTCCCTCGTCTCAGTGACAAGCCCGCAGAGCCTCTTTAACGCGTCCAGTGGAAATGACAAACCAGAGGCGCTCCACGGGGCCAGCATGTCAAATAACAACAAGAATCCCGCGTTTTAGCGACAGCAACTCGTCCGAAGCCCACAACCTCGGACACTAACGAGGCTTCTTTTGGGCCGTTTTTTTGTGGCTCTGCGGGCGCCTCAAAGTTGGTGCGAGCTTCGCCAAATGGACTTCCATGGACTGGGATGAAACCTCCAAATCTATCGGACTGACGGAAGGAGGGAAAGAAACCTCTGCATGTTCAAGTTTCCTGCTCCAACCAGAGGGGCATCGGTGCGCGCGTGTTGGATGTGTGTGCGCGCGTGTGTGTGTGTGTGTGTGTGTGTGCGTGCGCGCCTGCAGGACCAGCAGCAGCAGGAGCAACGGCGGCCGCGGGAAGGGAAGTTTAGCGCCGTGATTTGTCTTCTCTCTATTCTGTTGTGTTGTTGTTTTTTTTTTTAATGTCACACCAAGGGACAGGCGGATTAACGTTTCCCTGATGAAAATAAATCACCTGTGGGGAGACTCTGTGATCGTGACTTCGATGATGATGTCGAGTAAGAGCGTGGAGTGGCTGCAGGAGGAGCTGGAGTCCGGGGCCAGCTCTCTGCTGCTGCTGGACTGCAGACCCCACGAGCTGTACGAGTCCTCGCACATCGAGTCGGCCATCAACCTGGCCATCCCGGGCCTCATGCTCCGGAGGCTGAAGAAGGGCAACCTCCCCATCCGCTCCATCATCCCCAACAACGAGGACAAGGAGAAATTTGTCAAGCGGTGCAAGACGGACGTGGTGGTTCTGTACGACGAGGCGACCCCGGAGCGGCAGGAGTCCGGGCTGGGGAGCTCCGTGCTGGGGCTGCTGCTGCAGAAACTGCGGGACGACGGGTGCAAGGCTTTCTACCTGGAGGGTAAGATAAACTCCGCTTCCGTAGCGTAGCCTAGTCGCGTTAATTCATAAAAAAAAGAACTCGCACTGACGGAAAGACAAATTGTTTAATTGCACTCTGATGTAATTATCTGAGGGGAATTACGCGGCTGTTTCTGAATGTGTCTTCTTCACCAAGCACGAAACAACATACATTTATCTGACCTGGGATGATTTTATTAATGAACACGCATGTTCATGTTTCATCCCTTTTCTGGGTCTTTGATATCTCTGAAGCAAACCGCTTGAGAAGATATTGTTTTGGGGAAAAGGGCATCTTCACGTTTTTGACAATTCCACTCGTGTTAGTATAAAACCTTATTACATATATTTAAATAGCTTGTAAGGATATTTAAGTGGCGACACTTCAAACACATCCAGCTGTTATCCTCCGTCGACAGACTAGAGTTTGTGTCTTATTTGTTATGTATGGACCATAATGAGGCAGCGACAGTTTCGACTATTAGAGCAGTTATTATAGGCTAATAGAAAACGAGGTAGAACACGTGAGCTGCACTCACTGCGAAGTCTCAATGAAGTTTGACATTGCACTTCCTTCACTTAATGCTGATTATTGCCTATTTTTTGTATTCTTATTTGGGTAGACATGCTTAAATGATAGTCCAATATAAAGAAGCGTTCAACGGTGTCCCGTGTCTCAGCAAATAGAGCTGGGTCAAATATGTTTTCAATTAAATGCTGCAAAAAAATGGCCCCGCCATGTTGTGCTCCTTCAGGAAAAAGACTGGCGTTTTTTTTTTTTTTTTCATGAATGAACAAGGACACGAGGAGACGACGACACACTCCTGAAAAAAATAAAAATAATAATGAATAAAGGACTCTAAAATATGAATAGAATGACATGTGGTAGCGTTAGGAGATGCGGAGGTATTTGATTGAATGCCAATCAAAGAAATGTTACACTTGAGTCATAAAGCCGAGCTGCCATTCACAAAAAGTCCACTGCGCTGAGTGGTGCGCGCTGTGGCAGCAGGACAGTCAGCTCTGCTGCTCTTCCTCCCCAGGGCTCAGCTTTTCTCAATGGAGCACATCTGTCCGGCCTGTTTGCTTAGTCACAATGACGTCAATATCGCCCTAATCTCCTCTTATCCGTCACATTATAAAATATGAATATGTAGTGTTGCGTAAAAAGGTGGCGTGGCTGCAATAACTGCATTTTCAACAACAACAAAAATCTTATACATTTGTTTTTTATTTATGTAATTGTAAAACACTACAATAGAAATGGCAAATGTAATAATGTTCGTGATGTATTCGTCTTTATATGAGTTGATGAAAAAAGTTATGTAAATTGATTCCATTTGGATAGCCTTTCCTACACCTGGCTGCTCTAATGAATGAAATGTAACTAGAATATTCATTTGCAGTGGTGAAATGCGTTTTAATAGATTGTTATGTTTGAAAACATAATTTGTGCTGATTATTTACCAGCATCAACATTGTTGTTTTTTCAAAATTGTTCCTGTCAATTGTCTTTAACTCTGTTTATTATTTTATTTCTAATTTAAAGGTTTATTTCTTGTCATTCTAGTTCATGATCCACCCCCTGTATCACGCAGACTTGACATTCAGCTGCCATTTTGTAGAAGTTGTATAACACAACCTTGCCTGTGGTCATGAACAGGGCACTTTTTTTAATACCGTCCAGGGAAATGATTTTCTTGGCTTTTATCCGAACATTGTCTTTTCCTCGTCCTCCAGGGGGCTTCAACAAGTTCCAGTCGGAGTACCCCGAGCACTGCGAGACCAACTTGGACTGCTCCTGCCCCAGCAGCTCGCCACCGGCCTCCGTCCTCGGCCTGGGAGGACTTCGCATCAGCTCCGACTGCTCAGACGGGGAATCTGACCGTGAGCCGGGCAGCGCCACCGAGTCGGAGGGCAGCCCGCTCCCCAACAACCAGCCAGCGTTTCCTGTCCAGATCCTGCCCTACCTTTACCTGGGCTGTGCCAAAGACTCCACCAACCTGGATGTGCTCAGCAAGTACAACATCAAGTACATCCTCAACGTGACGCCCAACCTGCCCAACATGTTCGAACACGAAGGGGACTTCAAGTACAAACAGATCCCCATCTCCGATCACTGGAGCCAGAACCTCTCTCAGTTTTTCCCCGAGGCCATTTCATTCATTGGTAAGTAAAGGCGGAGGGAACTCTCTATGTTACGTTACAACAGATCTTTTTGGAAACAGCGGGGTAACCATTATTTTGATTATCGATTAATCTAAGGCGACGTCTTCAAATGTCTTGTTTTGTCCGACCAACTGTCCAAAACGCAAACTATTTAATACGTGAAAAAGAAAAGAAGCAAATCTGCACAGTTTGAGAAGCTGGACATCTGGTGTATTTGCATTAAACATTTAAAACAATTATCAAATTGGTGCAAGACTATTTGTCTAACAACTAATTGATTTATCAACTAATAAAAGTCAGAAAATAGTGAAAAAATGCTGAACAGTCTCCCAAAGGCCAAGTTGGCACCTTCAAATTGCTTGTTTTGTCCAACCAACACTCCAAAACCTATCAATGTTCACTTAACTCTTATATAACTAAGAAGAGCATCAAATATTCAGATTTCAGAAATGTAAACCAGTGAAATGCTTAAAAAATGACTCGAATGATCAACCAATCAATCAGTCACTTCATCACTAGTTTAGTTAAATGAATCCTCCATTACCCTCTTTCAATACATTTATCCTGGAGTTTAATCATACATCAGGTACAAATCTTTTTGCCATATGTTTTGTGGAAATAGTTTAAAACAGAATAAGTGTGAAATTCTCCTAAAATTGCTTTGTTGAGCTGCATTCAGACGTCCACAGGCTCATTTTTACTATTCCTGATTCAACATGAATTAAATATCAAGGGTTAGGGTGAAAGCAAAGTTTTGAATGAAACATGGAAAAAGATTATTTGAGAATTGAAGCCACAAGGATTCTAGCCCCTCACCTCGTCCCATTTTCAGTATTTCCCGTCATTCCCATCGTTCCCGCTGACTGAATTCCCAGAGAATGAGTAAATTCCCTCTCGGATGAGTCAGTGAGAACCACAGTCTCTGTGATTGTCCAGACCCCTGACATTTTACTTTCTTTTTTTAAGGCTAATGTTTCAGCTTAGGTGGCAGCAAGTGGGACATATGCCAGAGCCAGAGGTCGTGGCCGATTCGGGTCATGCTGATGTTAAATGTTGCAGTCTGGCTGTAATGTGCAGGGATTACATCAGGTCTTTTAACAGCATGGTAATTATGGGTAGAGGAGAGAAGCTCAGGCTGGAAAGGAGACCCAGATGTGACCTTGATGTACTGATGTGGACTGCAGATTCCTTAAATATCTGAAATTATTGTATGAACATGTAGAGATGGAGGAATTTGGTGTTTTCAGGCATTGTAACAGGCGGATAAATAGACAATTCCTGCGTTATAATCCATTTAAAGCACAAATAAAGTGATGTAACGCTGCACAATCTAGAGATCAGTTCAGGACAAATGAACCACGGTTTACTTCTTTGACTTCTGAGTAGTGTATAGTCGTGGAAAGTGAGCACACATCACATATAAATTCCATTCGACATCCGCTTGGCAGCCTGAGCTCAAGAGCCAACTGACCCCAATCCTACAACAAGAGACGCAGGCAGAGAGAGATAAAGGAGAGGATAAAAGAGGAAGAAAGGAAAGAAGCACTTAACTCTCTCGCTCTAATGGCCTGCAGTGATGCAAGTGCAAGGGCTCGTAACTGATAGAATGGTGATGGATGTAGGCCTTTAATAATGTAAGATGGGCTTCTTTATTCAGACTGAGAGCAAGAAAGCAGAATGAAACACGTCCTTCTGCCGTCATTGAGAAAAGTCATTCTGGAGTAAAACTGTAATAAATGTTTAGAAAGCGTTGGGACTTTGAGTAAGCCTGTGTTGTGCTGTGATTATATAATGTTCAATATTTCTGTTGCACAAATGATTACTATTTAGTTGTAATTCAATACCAACAAAATCTGGTATAGTTTGAGGTACAGATTTTTTTTTGATTTACATTTGAAGAATTGAATCTCGTGTCATAAGTTCCATTGCTTAGAAGTGCCTGAAAATGTTATTTTAGTCAGTGATTCATAATCATTATTTCTATAACATTAGATATGAATAAATAAGCAACAATCATATTTAAAGTGCAGAAATATTTATTTTAGTTTGATGTATTATTATTATTATTATTATCCTTTCATCCTTTTTTGCTAATAGTAACAAGCTAGTTACTATTTGTTTTTTATTGTTTTATTAGAACAGACAGAGAATCTAAAGCTCAATGGTAATGTGAAGGCTAGGATGTATATCTGTAATCTAAACCTCTCTCATGGTTTCCTCTTCAGACGAGGCTCGCTCCAAAAAGTGCGGCATCCTGGTGCACTGTCTGGCCGGGATCAGCCGCTCGGTGACCGTCACGGTGGCCTACCTGATGCAGAAGCTCAACCTGTCACTCAACGATGCGTACGACTTTGTCAAGAGGAAAAAGTCAAACATTTCCCCAAACTTCAACTTCATGGGCCAGCTCCTGGACTTTGAGCGGACGCTGGGCCTCAACAGCCCCTGTGACAACCACTCGACCTCCCCGACGCACGACCAGCTCTTCTTCACCACCCCGACCAATCACAACGTGTTTCAGCTGGACACGCTGGAGTCCAGATGAAACTTGAGTGGGGTGACTGTTCCTTTCTTTGGGGGGTTAAAGGCGGTGTTGTTACCATGATAACAAGCGTCTGCACTGGAGGGAAGCTGCCGGTTTTAATGAATGTTTGAGCCTCCCGAGGCTCGTTGTCTGAGCGCCTGGCGAAGGAGCAGCGTCGGATGGGCAGGTGGAGGTCACAGGTGCGGCGTTAAAAAGGGGACGAGGTGTTTTTTAAACCCAGTGGGGGAACTGACAAATGGGTTTACAATGGCGTCCTCCGTGGGAGTTGATTGAAATCGAGGGAGGAAGAGCCCCGATCAACTCGTCTTGTCACAAAGAACCGAGGAGACTTAACTGACTGAGCGAAGGACGCGGGAGGACAGACGGCTTCATACAAAGATAGGAAAAATCTACAGCGCTCGACTTATGAGACAACAACATCCTCTCTGTCTTTCTCTCGGCTCTCTGGCCGAGCTGACTGGTGCCAAGTGGAGAATCTGGGATTTACTTGTAGGAAATCTCGCTCTACTGAATGTAGAGTTTTACAAACCAAGGAATTAACACACACATATACAAAGTATGTATGTTTGTACTGTATGTATGTCAACGTACATAGCAGAAAATTCAGTATGTCTTTATGCATTTTTGTATACTTTTGTGTACATTTACGCACAAATCTGTACCTTATATAAATATATATATATATACACATAGAAATCGTATCTTTTCAATCCAACAATGGCTTAAGAGATTGTAAAACTAAAGAACGGGTGGAGACGCCAACAAAGAGGAACGTTATTGTGATATTCCTAGTCGTCTTTTTTTTTTAAGTTTCGTTTTTTCCTTTCAGGTTTGTAATGACCTAATGCAGTTTGCACAGTGGTGTAGCCACTGACATGTTGGCACTTGGAGCCGGTGCTAGAAGCAGGCAGATAAAGAGACATTCAGAGAGGACGAGCGGAGAGGAGAGGCCAGTCCCAGGCTGCGACGAGTCCCGACAGCTGCACAGTGGAGTGGGGAGGGAGCAGGAACTGGCCCCCCGAGCAAAGGACAAGGTTCAGGGGTTAGAGGGTAGGGTTAGGGGCAAAGACGAGTAGCGGGCAAGATCAGTGCATGGGGGTGGTTGGGTGTGGGTGAAGGCGAGTTGACAGTCGGCCAACTGTTTTCAAGTGCAAGTTCCTACTTCCTTCCCAGTACGACTGTTCATCCAGTTGCCTTACAAGAAGTACCAGTTATCTCCACCAGCTGTTTTGATTCGTTCAGTCAGAAAGTAAGCTACTGAACTTCCTCGGTTATTTCCTCACGTCGCATATAGTCCGACCACAGTATGTTATTGCCAAACTGGTTTCTCACACCTCTGATGTTTGTACTTTGAGGCGGACACTTAACTGAGAGGTCATCTGGGGAGGTGCCTCAACACTCTTGTATTACCTTACTTCTTTTCGCCTCAGAGGAAGTTTTTCAATTTGTTGTCCTATCTTAGGTTCTGTTTACCAAAAATACAAAAAAAAGGACTGTATAGGACACGGGACTGCGATTGTATCCTGCTCTTGGTGTTGGTATTATGGTGTTGTGGACTGGGACTGGCCTCAGCTACAGACTGCACTTAGCTACTTCAATAGCTTCACGTCCCGTAACTGCATTGGTGGAAACAGAAGGAAAGTCTTTTCTGCAAAGGGATCACCCATTTTGTCAAAGAAAGGTTTGTCTTGAGTTAATTCACCCGTAAGCCTTGGGTATATGAAAGATATATTAAACATAAAATGATATAAATATATATATATAATAGAGCTGACAGTAAACAGATATTATTTTGTATACCTGAGCATGCTGTGGTACTGTATGCTCTCTAACAGCAGACGTAACTACGGGTTGGATGATGCTTTACCAGGTGGGAAGATGAATGATGAGGACCGTTTTTTTAACTGCTGTTGCTGCTGAACACAGCGGCACACGGCATGTAGTTAAGGAGTTTTCTGAGATCCTGTCCACATCAGAAGCACCTTAACAACAAAGACTCCCCCAAAAAAAGCACAAATGCTGCAGCATTTGTGCTTTTAATTTAGGTTTCCTCCAATGAGTCCAACAACACTGCAGCACTTTTATCTGTACTACCTGCTATCTGTAGGTACATTGGGCGTCATGCAAGAACATTTTAATTTTTTCATCCTAAATCTCTCACTTTTTTTCTGTGAGGGATGCTCACAGGAGTCTGATTCAGCTTTTAACTGCACAAACATGTAAACTGCAAGTCTCAAGCTGGTTATGGCCACCTGTGTATGAGGTCGTGCACATTTGTGAGTTGCGATTGTTCCATAATTGCCGCTTTAGAATTGCTTCATCAGGCTACCTGTTCTGCTGGAACAGGTAGCCTGATGTTTTTTGTTCACAGAAATGTAAAAAGCAGATTAGATGAGCAGACATAACATTTAGCAGGCTGTTAATACGGTTGTCTGCGCTGCCTACTGTGAAAGATGCTAAAAGCCATCATGACACTGGAATCACAGCTCTTTGTAGAGTTATGAGTGACGTTCAGACCAGCTGCATGTCCTCCTCTGGCCTGTTGGTCCGAGGACAACTTGTAGTTGGTTGAAATGTCTGAGAAAACTAAAAGGAAAATAAATAGCTTGCACACTAAAGAACAAATCTGCTTACATGATTATGGTTCTTGCATGAGGCCCATTGTTAAAAGCGAGCTCCAGAGGTTTGGATGTGGACAGGGTCTAAACGGAAACAAAGGACTGGGTTTTACAGGGGACAGCAGTTGAATCTGAAGAAGGTTGGTTTTAGCTGGCCTTACATAATCCTTCTAACTTGTTTCTAATGCTGACTGTTCAATACTTTGTATCTCACTTTAGAAAAACGTTGTGTGAAAACGAAACTTTTGTTTATCTGTTATTTGAATCAGAAAATGGTAATAATAGACAGCGAGCTGTTTTTTTTTTTGTTTTTTTTATATAACCGTAACGGGTCACACAAGGTCCTCTTTGTTACTCTGCAATATATCAAAACACCATTTTTTTTGCAGTATTTTGTAGATTCAAGACCTCAACATTTTTTTTAATCTTCTTCTTTTGTACTATATCTATTCTATTATGATTATACAAGATCCAGCTCGATATGGCTTGTGGACTGAAGTAACATTTCACCTGGGGTGTCCAAAATGTAGGGCCGACGTGCCCGTTACCAACTTGAAAGAGGCCCTCACTAACACACACACACACACACACACACACACACACACAGCCAGAGCTGTGGGTCAGCATGCCAGTTATGTTTCACAATAGACGATTACACCACCCCGCTTATATAATGAAAACGTCTTTCTCCATCTTGTTTTGATATAATGTGCTCTATGCTATTCCTGTGGCCTTTCAATATGAATATATATGTTAGAATTTATATGCAAATTTCCTCTCCTATAACATCAGAGATGAAACTAATACTACCACGCTTGAATGGCCTTCCCGCGTCTGTAGTTATATCCCACTTACAATAAGAAAAACAACTTGATCACTTGCACCCTAGGATTGAAATATATTTCAGTACGGAGCTTTTCTACTCAAAAAGAAAATGGATTTCAAGCTGCATTCTTGTGTTTTTTTTTGTGTGTGTGTGTGTCTTTGTAACAATGAAAGAGAAATCAAGTCTTTTTCTCTGTTTGTAAATTTGCCAGATCACGGGAACGGCTGTTTCTGTGTCCTTAAACTTGTAGCTACATCTCGGTAGGAATGTGCTAGGGAGGGAAGGACGAGCGGGAGCAGAGAGAGGGGCGGCAGCGCGAAACACAAAGTGAAAGAAAAAGTGAATGATTTTAAAAATGTTACCTCAGTGAGGAATTTTTCAGGGATTTTTTTGACAATGCATCTTGCATCGTGTTACAGCTTCGAACACACGTTGAATAGCTGTTTTGTATTGTGCTGTAAACGGTTTTTAAAAGAAGATGCAATCTGTCTGTGTATGAAAACAAGGGGCATGTTAACCGGGGCAGTTTCACCTTTCTGTCTACTGAAGGAAATACGATTGACCCCATGTATTTGTACAGTATATGGAAACAACACAAGACATGTTTATACCGCAAATAAATATTGAAATATTTTTTTCTTTAGAACTTGTGTCCTTTTTATTTCTTACTACATAATGATAGTATAGCAGTAATTACAATAAATGCAGAGGAATTTTTCATAATTATATTGATTATTTTTAGATGGATGGGTTGTGAGGTGATAAGGTTTTTAAAAAAGCAGGAGAACACACTTTCTACTACATGTTTATTTAGACTTTCATCTAATGTAAAGGACATTTGAAGTGTTTTTTACAGTATTTGTGAACAATTGGCCCTTAGCTTAGCCCCTCCCTCCTTGTTACTCGCACCCGGCATGTCAATACAGTGTTTTCAGCAATATCCGTGAGAAATTTTCCAAGGGAGATAATAGCAGATTTCTCCTATATTAGTTCTGAAATAACAGAGAGAAAACTAAAACATGCATATGAGAGCTTCACTTACAATATGATTTGTCTGCAGAGTATTGTGAATGAAGAGGCCAATTAAATGGAGGGAAAAGTCCCAATGCAAGCGTCAGACAGCCAAAGTCTTGACAGCTCTGGTATACAAGGACCAACAGAAACACCAATGTTCCTACACAGCAGGGTGTCAATATATTAAACAAACGTTTAGTTATGACTCCCTATAGCCTTCAGTAACTCAATTATCCCGCTTTTCCGTTTGTTTGATGAGCGCCAGAAAGCGTGACAGGCCTCCTGCGTCTAGTTAGTTTTATTACAGCTGTGCTTTACTATATTTTCATTATCTGTTTGAAGACCAGCTTCCATTTATCGGTTAAAGTTGTTGACAAAAGCATTAATAAACACACTGCGTACAACTACACAAGAGTGTGTTGTACATTGATTATACAGTATGTATTAAATGAGTATTAACTACTTGTAAATGCTAAATAATGGGAACAAAGACAATCACCTTCCAGAAAGCCAAATAAGCCTTTACGAAACAAGATTGCGTATAGAACAACAAGACGATAGAAACAGTTTGCTTGAGTTTAGTTTTGCTTTGCCTAAAAGACTTCCCTTCATCTTCTTCCACAATCACACACACACACACACACACACACACACACACACACACACACACACAGGGTTTGTCTTGTTGCAACTTTGCTGTGGTTTCCACATTTTCAGGCAGCTACACATCCGATTGCTTAAACTGAAACTGCCACTTCCCTTCCCATACATCACTTATAGATATGAAGCTACCGACAGAAGCCATTTAGCTTGAATTAGCATACAGATTTAAAACAGGTTGAAACTACTAACCTAGCTTTGTCCAAAGAAAATAAAAATCCACCTACACCTCCAAAGCTCACTAATTAACACCTCCTAGTGTATCTGTTTAATCTGTACAAACATCAATGTGTGAAAATGAGTATTTGTGGTTTTATGTAGTTAGTGGACTATTACTGCGTACCATTTACATATTTTCACATCAGAGTTGACTTTGTTCCAGTACAACATAGGAAAACTCAATGGGGTTTTCTCCAGCCAGGTTTGCCATCGTAGGTCATTGTTAACGATACCAGTTGATAACAATGCCTTATGTCGGTACACGCGCACACAAATGCCGTAGCAACATGTCCACAGACAGACAGGACAGTACTGTATGTGTACTGAAGTATACAGTACTTCAGGTGGCCTTCTAGTTGAAATGTCCGACTGGGAACTCAACTCAGTTCAAAGGGAACGCAGCAGTTTTCCAGGAATCTCCGCTGGTTGCCTGGCAACTGCTCCTAGCCAAAAAATAGTCAGCCCATAAAATGGCAAATTTTATTAACGAGCAAAGATAAAATAAAATAATTAGTGAGTTTTATTGCTGTATTTTGACTCCTAGCTCACTTTGTTTACAGTCTTTATGCTAAATTAAGCTGCTCCAGTTTATTATCTTCTCATCTAACTCTGGGCACGAATGCAAATAAGCATATTTCCTGTTGAACCATTCTTTTAATTATTTGTGTGGTGATGAATACTAGTTTACGGTTCCTCATTCCATAAACTGGCAGCAGAGATCCAGCTGTGAGGGATAAGAACTCTCTTTCTCCAAGCTGCATCCTGTGTGACCATTAACTGTGCTCCCGCTTAACCCTAAGCTGCCCTTTTTTCTACCTTCTCAACTAGCAAGTGACAACGAGCTGACAGAGAGTCAGAGAAAGAGAATCAGCAAAGTGAGGAGGGTTGGTGGGAATAAAAAAAAAGAGCATCTTAAAGACAGCGCTGTGAGCTGAGCTGAGCTGGCTATAAATATCTCCTCCGGTGTTGCCCTCGCTCCTCTTCCCTCCTTCTACAACGGCTCATCTTTCATTTTTTGCTACATGACTTCCTGCGCCATCGCAACACCGAGTGAGCCATCCACCTCATGGTAATTCAGACAGGATATTACAGCGACAGCAGAGGTGACATAAAGGAAATGAAGGCCTGTTTGAAGAGATTGGGGACAGAGTGATCGACACCACCGACTGATTACTTTCTGGTTTCCTGGCAACATGATGACAGGCTTTCCCACACGCCCATCATCATCATCATCATCATCATCATCGTGACAGTTCATGTAACAGGAAATGTTTCCCGCTCTAATTTGAAGACTTCATCGTGACCTTAGATAGTTAAATGAATGAGAGCTCTGTGGCATTTGCAGTGTTGTCCTTTAGGAGCTCAAAACATTGTTTCCCACTGCTCGCTAATGAAGATGCTTCACCCTGGTATCCAGAGAGGTGCATGTTGACATTTTGGTTCTGTTACTGTCACAGCACCAGCTCCATTCATGTCATTACTTTCTCCACAGTCTGCTCGTTTCCCCTTGTTTCAGGTTTTGGCTTGGATCTGGTTATTTTCAATTCATTAAGAGATTTTTGCGAGAAGTTGCCTTGTCGGCAATGTCGGTTCCTTTGACGAGGAAAAAGAATGTGTGGAATAGAAAAGACGCTTCCTCTTTTTTTTGTGAGTCTTTTTTTGTGAGTTGTGAGTCTTACAATGTTACAGAGAACTCTGGTCTCAGGGTCAGGGTCAAGCCTCACACGCTTCAGTTTAGGGCTCCTGCAGAAACAACACTTTCCTCCCACAAAGGCCAAATTGTTTCAAATCCTGTTAGCGAAATGTTTGTCTATCTATTAGCACTATTGTTTAAGGAACCTCACAACTATTATCGAGAAATCAGTGAACCTGCTGCTGATGATAACGCATGCAGTGACAGTGTTGGGCCAAAGTGTTTTTAAATATTAATGAATAAATAACAAAACTATCAGTCGATGTTGACACCAGTTCAAAGAAGCTATTTGTACACCGACCAGAGTAAAAGCTGTAAAACAAAATGATACAACTAACATTGCTTAAAGTCAAACTTCATCAACCAAACCTTGTCTGTTAAGGAATGTGGACACGATCCGAGGGGTGAATGAAGGGTCACAGCAGAAGGATATCTGAGAAACTGCAGGTGTTAACTGTATGTTAGCTGTATGTTAGTGCCATCATTTGTGAATGCTGCACAGACTTATTTCAGTAATAGTCCTCCATCTTCTTTTAATGAGATTGTCCTCGTGCTCTCTGTCTGACTGACAGAACTGAAACTCGTGCAAATAAATTGCATCTACCACAGTCATGGCATTAAAAAAAACAGAGGAGCTCGGGTCTCACTACTTTTGCGAAAGCTCCGCTGTGGCCGCCTCCTTTAATGGGCTCAAATAATTACAGTAAATAGCTGCTATGGCAGCTGCTGCCGCTGCTGCAGTACTTAGATGAGCACTGTCCTCCCACTGTGAGTGGTACTGTACTCTGATGTACTGTATTCTTTCAGCTCTCCTTCACAGTTATATAAAGAGCCAGTACAGTGCTCTCTCCAGCAACGCACCACTTCAAGAGCATAATGAGAGGAGAGCTGGGGGGGGGGAGATGTTTCATCATCTGGAAACTGGAAACTAAAACCGGTAGGAATCCATGCTGACCGAATGTTTCAGCTCCAGCACTTCAATCACTTCTTATATCTACCTGCCATGCTGTGATCACAATCACCCTCACATCTTCATCACCAGTTTGCATTCTGAGTGTTATTTTCTACTTGTCATTAGGTTTTAATCGTTGTTAATATTACATTCCCGTTAACCCAGAAGACGATGTTGGCAATAAATTGATGAGAGCGATCACAAACTGTAATAAGTGTATGACAGTGATGCTTCAGTTTGTGGTCTAGTGATGTACTAAAAACTGTGTGGAAAGAAATAAGAATAAGAACTAGAATACCAGAAAACTAGAATAATAACATCCCCATTTTGAAACACAGTGCAGCAGCGTTTGTTATCAGCCGAGCGAGCACATCCGCACTGTCAAAGCTGAGTTTGTGTGGGCTTGCATGTTCATCACAGTTCGTTCCCGATATTGAATAATAAATCTAAATTTGTATTTAAGAGGAACTTGTTTGAGGCAGTAAAACATACAGAGGGGAAGCTATAGAGACATTGAATCACATGTTCTCCACATGCAAACAAAAGAAAGTCCTTTACAGAGCCATCCTCAAGAGTGCAGGCTGTTCATTTCTACTCCAATCAAACTTTACAGTTAACTGCACATCACCAACCATACAGGGGCGAAGGCAGTGAAATCAGCTGTTTGTG